TTTTTTAAAAATTATTAATTTAAATCCTATAAATTTTAAATTTTAAATTTAAATTATCATTAATTTTATAATACTGAACATTTATTTTAATAAAAAAATCCAAATAATTAACAGAGAACTTGAAAACATCAGGACGACGGGCTCACCCAAAAGCTCCATCCATCAATTTTCAATTCAGTGTTTCAGAAAGAATTTAGGACCTCAGATTTTATTATAATTGTGGCTTAAATCTAGGGTTTGTTTCGTAGCTAGCAGCTGTTGTCTCCTGTCATCTAAGAAGATGGTGCTGCCCTGAACCGGAAATGAAAGCTTGAATATCACTTATTTTTTGAGTGCCTCAATAAACATGTTTCCGTATAGATCAATCACATCCATGCAAGTGTTAAGGAGCTTAGTTGTCAGACCACATTTCCACAAATGATTCGACAGCCTGCATGTTACCCTCGGAGATGGAGGTTGTTTTCTCAGCACAGTAAAGTAATACAATGAAGAAGATAATTTGGAATTTAGGATGGTTTCGTGACTCGTGAATATCGTCTGCGACTTCATTCGAAATCTATATTTAGAATTATTATTTTTTCTATCCTTTCCACACAGCCACTCATTCTTTCCCTCTCACCACCGTCAAAAACACTCACGACAACATTACATCACTCTTCTCTCTCTCTAGCCCCAAATCAACGGCTATCTCTCTCTCCATAATGAAGGCTCCTATTTTTTTCTATCTAAACAGTCATTATCATCATTAACTAATATTTTAAAAAATATGGAAAAAAACCGTAGCTTTCTCACGTTATATGTTTTTTTTTGTTTTGTATTTCTTTTTTTTCCACATTTCTTTTTAGGTTTTATATATATTTTTTCTTTTTATTCTCAAGATTCTTTTCTTTAAAAAAAATTATCTTTGTTAATTTTTTAATATTAAATTAATTAAAAATTTATTTATGTAGTTTTTTAAAAAAAAATATTATAAATTATTACTATATATTACTTCTATGAGTAGTTTGAAAAGTAATAATAACTCTCTATGAAGGTGATAAAGGGTGACATGTAATGAACCTTAAAAGAAGAGTCGGGAAGATTCTAGGTCGGATCAACGACATTCCAATAAATTACATTTTCAACAACTTCAATCGTATTTAAATTAGTAATAATTACTTTATATGTACACTTTATTGTCAAATTATCATGCGCTTGAGTTGAGAAAGGTAAGAAGGGGTGATGAAATGAGGATGAATTATCTCCGTGAGAAGTTTGGAGTGAAATTGTTTGGGAGAAAAGGTTTGTGGCCTACAACTGATCTCATTGCATCTATTAAAGCTGAGAGAGGTGGTCACAAAACCCCTGCTACTTCTTTGGTTCTAAAACCAGGGATGTTCAAACTACAAAAGATCACTTTGAAGCAAAAATTGATTAGGAGAGCTAAAATAATACGCAACAGCAATAAGTATGTGCCTCCTTTGAATTTGAACATGGTAAATATCAAGGTATCAGAAGAAATTCAAACAATAAATTAGGCACCTCCTAAAATGAATAGTACAGGACAAATTCAAGTAGACATGTTAAAGAATGAACAGAAAGCACCTTCCTAATGAATAGTGATAATGAATTTTTTCCTCTTGAATTAGTAAATATAGGCCGATTGTAGAAATTTGTCTATATTATTACTAATTGTTGAAGATATATTTGTCATGCATTAAAGCTCCACGAATGATGCATGGTGTCTACAATGAGAAATGAAAATTGTTATATCTAATAAAACTACATGTGTTAATTGACTCTTTATTCTCCATCACTTACATTTGTCATGCACAAAAGCTCCACAAATGATGCATGGTGTCTCCAATGAGAAATGAAAATTGTTGTATCTAATAAAACTACATGTCTTAATTGACTCCTTATTCTTCATCACCTCATTCCTTCCTTGGGCAAAATAATATAGAGGTAATGCCCCTGAACCATTAACCACAAAGCTTGTCCCCAAGTTGATTGTTGTATGGAGAATAGATCCTCACATAGAAGGATTTATGACATAGCACAACTGTGACATGCCATGATGGAAAGAAGATGTTATGATGTTAACGCTGGTCAAGGTGGAATTTGGTTTCGATCGCCTATATTATATTAGTATAAGGTATGAATGATCATGGATGTCAAAGAACAATCTCAACTAGTAGCTTAAACTATTGGGTAAGGTTCCAAGATATGATTTATATTATTTTCTAACACACCTTCTTAGGTAAAAGCTCTTTAGACTTGAAACTTGCACAGCTTCACATTATCTTGTGCTTGAAATAAATATGAATGATGAGATTCAAACTTGTAATTACTTGATCATCAAGGTTTTGATACCATGTTAAAGAATTAATCTCAACCTAATAGCAATATAATTTATATATTATCTAAGAGTTTCAAGCCCAAATCTTTTTAGGAGATGCAAAATATGGATATTAACTGAGATATCAACTGATTAGCAATGACATCTATTAAAAAAATCATCCTATAAAATGAAACCATGCAACTTTTTTTTTTTGTGTAAAAAATTGCATTCTATTCTGCCGAGAATCATAATGTTATTTCCTCATGATTAACAACTAGAGAATTCAGTAGTACATGTGACATTTTCAAGCCAATACAAGCTTGTCCAGCTTATAACATGGTTCTGGAAAAAAAAAATTCTATATATATTTTCTATCTTGATCTTGCATATAGGAATGCCTAAGTTTTGATTTTAGATTCAGCGAAGAACCAGAGACCAGAGGAATCAAATGTGATTATCAAAATTGATCAAGATGGGCTTTGAGTATAAATATGACATGATAAAAATCATTGATGATAGCTTGGAATGTGGAAAAAGGCTGGGAGCTCTCCAATTAGTTAATCAAATTCAGAACTCAACCACACAAATTTAAATTTGTAGTTCTTTTTTTTCATTCAGATTTTAAATTTGCAGTTTGAAGTGCTAATTTTTTTTTTTTTTTGATTGATTGGTTTGAACAATCACAAGCTAGACTTTAAGAGTTGTTTGTCTAATTTGAATCGTCTCCTTCCTCGCTATAAGAAAGGGCCAAGACGTAGAAAACCTTTCCTAAACTTAAATTGTAAAAAAAATATTCTCTGAACAAAATAAAATTCGTAATTTTGCATCCTAAACTTCATGATTTTTTTTAAAATTTACTCCTAATTAAATAGCAGAAGAAGAAAATGAAAAAAAACCTGATAAAAGTTGTTTTAATTCATTTACTTTTATCAGCAACTCGTAATATAAAAAAAATAACTCATTCATATTCTCTCTTCAACCTCTAAATTGTAAGATTTTAAAAAAAATCAAAGAAAGGCTCAATTGCTTCCCCTTCTTGAGAGGTAAAAATTATTAGGCTATACTGATGGAACCATTGTTTAATTCGCGACCTCGGTTTGAACCTGTTGATTCTCACATGTCTAATGATAAACACTTGGTATGGAAAAAATAAGTTGAAGCTGAATGATGACGTGTACAAGATAAATAAATTTTTCTTCTTTTTTTATTTGATGGTAAAATTATATTTAAGATCAATTTGCATATTAATCGAGATCAATTTTCCTTTTATATGATCTTAAAAAAATGCATTTTTTACATCATCTAACCTATTTTGAGAAGTTTAATAAATTTCTATGAATTATAGTTTTAATATTTGAATTTAAAAAATAAAAAGGGAATAAAACTATACAAGCACTGAACCCATTTCTTGAGATTTGATAATAATAAAAAATTATCCATAATGCGGGTATTTGTCAGCATTGGTAAGGCTAGGAGTCCAAATTTAATTTGTTTATAAGGATAAAATGTGGATTATGGTTAAATGAATATTTGCATAGTTGAAAAAAATTAGATGATAGCTCGATGCACGGTGACCTCTGTGCTATTACACTAATTTTAAATCAGTGAAATTACTATCCACGTTCCGCAGCGTGAGGTCCTTCTTTTAATTTTCCATTGCGTGTTCGATGAAGAAATTGCAAACAATGTTTGACTTTTGTTTGTATTGAAAGTCTTCGATTTTTATCTTCACGTAAAATGAGTTTATATAACTGTAGCAGTTTTTCACAAGCATTTTCAATAGCCAAGTATCTTTTTCTGCAACAACTCGATGTATCTTAACAGCATGAAAGAGTAGTAAAAATTGAGAACACGAACAACAGTAAGTCATGCAAGTACTGCAGTATGCTGGTCTTATTTTATATCATCCTTTCTTTCTTCTTTTTTTTCCTAGCTTTATGTATCTGTTTATTATTGTGCTGACAGGAATTAATGTTATCCATGTTTATTTCGGAACGCTCCTCCTGCATCGGCATGCATTGAACAGGTTAAGAAAAAAAGGTTTCAGATTGCTGAAAATGTCTACGATAGTAAAAGTTTTAGATTCTAAGACGCTGTTATTCTGAAATGCAAGAAAAAGCATGGTAAGACACCAACAACACTTGCCTTCATTTCGCAGCATCTCTAATCACCTTCTATAATGTTGCTGCTGTCATGCTTCTTCTACTTCTTCTTGTCCCCGCTCTTTTCTTTCTTCTTGTCATTTTCCTTCTTTCCCTTCTTCTCCAGCTTCTTCTTCTCCTTCTTCTCTTTCTTGTCCTTCATTTTCTTCTCGTTCTTTTGATGGTTCTTTTTCTGGTCGACATGAGCTTGGCTGCCGGGGCCATTGGTTTGGCAATTGCATTGAGTTACATAATCGACCTTCTCATGGGAAAGGCTTTGCTCTGTTTGGACATGGACCATTTCTTGTTCTTGGTCGCATGCCTTCTCGTCTGGTTTGATGCATTGCATTGAGGCCATGGTGATCGAGGCTGAATGGGATTCTAATGAGTATTTTCTCTCTTCTTTGTTGTTGCATGTTACTCCAAGCCATCGCAGAAACGTATAAATAGGCGCGGGGCAAGTGGGATTCCTTTTGATTAGTTATCACCCTTTGAATCTGCTTTTTTACATGATGAACCGATAGCATCCCCATTATCAGAGAGAGAGAGAGAGAGAGAGAGAGTATGGTTAATTTGTGCTTGAGAAGGGAATAGATGCTCCCATAAATGTTGATGGGAACCAAATTCTGTGCCGTCTGAACTACTAACGAGTCCTTCAGAAGGATATAAAGATATTTTAAAGTAGATGTAGTTGTTTGGCTTTGTCTTGTATGGTTAGTAGTCTGATTTCACTTCTTACCTGGCACATTCTCCGTAACAGGAGGTGTTGAACTACTTGAGAAATGCGAGGAAAAGAACGGAATAAATGTCGTGTTTGGACAACTAAGTATAGCATTATCTAAGCTTGTAGTTAATGAAATTGGGCACAGAAAGTGACTTGTGAGTCTACCTCCACTACATGGCTAAAGCAACTCCTTAGAGTTTCTGGGCCTACCATTAATTTATTCTGTAGCAGGATGACAGCTGAAAAAGAGAGATCGAAAAGCTTATTAAGATTTTAGTGGTGTTTATTTGTAAAATGATTTATAGGTGTTTTGAGTTAAGAAATTAGTTTATTAAGATTTTTATGGTGCTTATTGTATAGTTTTGGGTAAAAATAAATTAAAAATAATATTTTTTGTTTTAAAATACTCCAACCTGATTTTTTAGCCACAATCTTTGCAAGCAAATGATCGTCTTCCATAATAGATGATGCATCATTAGTTTCATTTAAAAAAAGAAAAGACAACACAAAAAACATAGAATGATAGGTGCGTGGGTTTGGTTTTACAGGCCCACGCATGTCAGACCTACTTACTATTAGGTAAAGAACACGAGCCCATCTATTTATCATAAACAACTAGCATCTTTCCATGTTTTTTTTTTTTTTGGAAATGCAGTAAAAGAAAGGCTTCACATGATATTGAAAATGGTTCTTAGATAATTTTATAAATTTTAATATTTTTTATTTATTATGTATCAAATATGAAAAAATAAAAATAAAAAAATTCTCTTGGATATTCAATGAATATAATTTAAAAAATAAATTGATGGATTTTTTTTCCTCCTAATAATTGAGATATTATTTTAATATATTTTAAAAAAACATTACTTTTGAGGTCATGATAAATTTTTATTTAAAAAAGCAAAGCTTGTAATAAAAAAAATATATTTTTTAAAAAAAATTAAGAAAGGCATTAATGGAAGAAAAATATTTCTCCTCAATAATTTTATTTGTTGTTTTTACTACAAATAACTATTTTTATAATCATTTAATTAAATAAAAAATATTTCAAAAGATAAAGTTATTAAATCCAATTAAATTCATGACTTGAATCACGAGTTAGGTAACTTAATATAATTTCACCCAGATGAATTCAAAACAATATTGTTCTAATATTTTAAAAAAAAATCATTTTAATTTATTTTCTTAAATCAAGCTAAGTTTTAGCTAAGTTGATGAAGTAATGAATATACTTATCAAGTTAATTAGACCACATTAAATTAACTTTTATCCAATTTATTTTAAAATCTAATCCGATTTAAACGTAAGGTTAGCATCTCGTCGATTTAACCTGATGAACTTGATTATGCTTATTAACATTAATATTGTCAAAAAAAAAAAATATTCCTTGAAATATAGTATAGAAAACTGACTGGTTTAACTATAAATAAAAAGTTTGATATCCCAGAGAGGATGAGAAAGCAAAAAATTAACACATATCGGTGTGAGTATACAATTTAGAAGAAGAAGAACTTGTCCTTGAAATTTGATTTGTATGGGAGGTAGGTTTGGTTTTTAGATATATCATCTAGAAGTAAATCTAGAAAGGATAATAACTTTTTGAAGTATTTATATTTTTTTATTATTTTTCTATTTAATTGCTTGTACTATTTTCCTCTATTTAAGTAATTATACTCGTTAAATTTATCTATCAAGTACCTCGTAATTATACTCGTTAAATTTATCTATCAAGTACCTCTATTATTATTATTATTATTTTGTCGGGAGTTAACTATCCATTAAGGGTCCCAAATTGATAGTATTTTAATTTATTTTTTTTGTTTTAACGATGTACTTTATATTTTATGAATTTTTTATTTGTGTGTCTATACTGGTTTTTTATTTGAGTATCTATACTTATAAATTTTATCAATCAAGGATTTTAATAAGCTGTTGTTATAATTAAGTTAACATGTCAACTATGTCGAATACAAGTGTGCTCCTTTATGTCAAAAATAACCATGATTTTATCATCTTTTTAATATTTTGGTTTACCAAAAGCACAAGCCTTGGTGGCTGCAAGAGGAGATTGGGGATTGTTTGTGGTGCTGGTTTGATGCTTCTAGTTGATCCATGGGCACCCAATATTGATTCACAGAGCTTTGCCTCACGGCTTTTTGCTTTCTCTTTATTTCCTTACATTGGTTTCTTGTAATTCATTACCAAATCCATGTCTGCTCCTATGCTCACTCTCTTTGGTTTCTACTTCTTGCTTGCCTTTGTTGGGGCTGCAAGTAAGTTTCTTTCTCCATATTTTTGTGTGCGTATGTGCAAATCTCGATTCTTTTTTCTTTCTTTTTTGGTGCTTGAAGTTTCTGAAATTTCTGGGTGGTGAATTTTGAAGTTTAGGACTTTCAATTATTTGGTGGATTAAATTTAGAAATTAGTAAAAGTGGAACTGACTCTAGAAGTTCTTGTGAATGAACGGATTAAGGGAAACAGCCAAACTGGATCCATTAAAAAGAAGAGATTATTATGCAATTGGCATTGTACTGGTGCCATTAATGAGATATGATGTTGTATAGTAGGATCAAAACATGAGAACTAACTTGATATGTTGATGTATAATTTTGGTAGAGTTTTAACACACTTCCTTTGCCTGAAATTTGTCCTGGTTAAAATATTTCTTGCTCTATATTTGTATGGGATGTTTATCGTTGTCAACAGCTTTTTGTAAGCTATATGTCTTTCTTCGTAATTGTATCTTGGTGGCTTCACTTCTGTTGAGCAGTCCCGGCTAGAATTTATGGTAACTTCTCCCATTAAATAGGATTTTACTTGAACATTCATCAGCTTTATTCTTCATGCCTATGTCTTAACTTTCTATTGGGACTTGATGGTTGCATGGTTGAGGCAGCAAAGGTGCATTATGGTGCTTCCTTACCTAATGTGGATGGATTGTTTGCACGGTGGGGCTGAGGCACTTCTCACTCTAACCAACTTATTCAGTGTCTTAGGGCTAAGACAAGCTCTTAGGAATGCAAGTGATTCCAGAAAAAGTTCATCAGATCCTGTTTCAGCAATCGAAGAGGAGAAGAAGTCTTCCATCTAGTTACTTTACATAAGTTCGGTTAGTTTATTCAAGCAAAATATCTCCTTCTTTACTTGGAAAACAGGGCTTGGTGCTCTTTCTCTTTTTCCACTTTTTGCAGAGAATACTCAACACTTTCTGCAGTCCATGTCACTTCTGCTCCGCCAATTGCACCTATTCATTAAGCCTTCAATTCCAGCTGAGTGCTCGAGATACACAAAACTCTTATAAGGAATCACAAATATCCAACTTAGCATTTAGTAAATCGTATATGTTTCTAAGGGTACAATCTTGATATGTGGTTTTTGTCTTTAGAATCTTCATCAGCATGTGTGATATCCTAAGAATGACAGAATGTCTTTGCCAGCTATCATGTAAAAGATCATGTTCAACAAGAGTGACGTATCCATTGTACTGGACTGTCTCTCCACGATATTTAAATTTATTCTCATTTTACGAGAATTCTAAAGTTTTTACCTTTCCTTTTGCTTTAAATTTCTCTTTTTATGTCCTAGAAATTAACATGCCGTTGCCTCTCATCAGCTGCTGAATTCTCTACCGATGTTGGAAGCTTATGTAAGTTAATGGAAGTTGATATTTAGAAGGAACAAAATCACAGATGTTATTTATAGAAAACTCAAAATTTTGCAATGCTGTCATAGCTAATCCGATTTTACATGCATCCTCACCTCATTTATAATACAAGCTAGGTTCCGCAGGAACAACCAGCCAGTGTGTTGAATTGCACACAAATGCAGCACCATTTCCTTTCTTATTTCCAGTGTCTAGATGAAATTATGAGAAAAATCCTGGTGAGTCAAATGGAAAGTCGGGATCCAAATCCACTTGATCAAGTGAGAAATCCAAGTCCACAATTGGAGAATTGGTGGCTGATGTGTTGGCTGAAATTATATCGGTGAAATCCGATTCCAAATGTTGCAAATTTTGAACTCCTACAAAATTGTTCATCTGGAATGGTGAAAGTGAGTAGTGAGTTGGTTCAGGTGTGGCTGGAGATATAAATGGAGAAAAACTGCCCTCGCTCTTTGTGCATCCATTTGTAGGAGGGAAAGAGAAGGGAGATACCATCTCTTTATTGTCCAAGTCCTCTGTATTGACCCTTAAGCTGTTGTGGAAGTTAAAGAGGGCTTGCTGTGATTGCTGTTGGTGACAGTTGTTATTGGTATTCTTTAGTTTCTTTTCTTGTTTTTCCAGTGATGGGGCTGATTGGTTTCCATGAGCACAAGAGTGCGTTCCTCGGTATGTGATCTCAAATACGGTGGGATCTTCATCTGATCTCTGCACTTGCTTTGTAGCCCAGCAGTTCTGAGTATTTCTGTAGGTGCACCTGTAATAGCTTCTGCACATGTAACAATCTCTTATCAGATTCTATTGAAAAATATGATTTTCAGTGTTTGATTGGCGACACCTTTTCAATGTTATCGGACCCTTACACAGGTCAGTTTCAAGTTCTTATACATGTGCTTTCAAGCATGAGTTGTTTTTCTAAATAGCACAGTTGACAAAAAAAAATATTTTGCAAACTAACCAACTGGTTTTTTATAAAAAAAAAAAGTAATCTGGAAAAGTAATTTTGTTATTTTGCTTGGAATAGTTGATCTACTAAGAATAACATAATTTA